ACTAGGGGGAATCATACCTAAGTGAGTTCCCAACCTGTAATTAGTAGTTTTACTTAGTTTAGTTAGTAGAGTAGTTTAGTTAATCAATCCTTGATCTGATTTGCTAGATAATGAACTGAAGCTGAGTAATAGTACACTAGAGATCTAAGGATTCAGTATTTATTACTTGCACCACTATACTGCAGTCCTTTTCATTGGTTACACTTGGACATTGTTAAGAGTTGTGTTTTATCGAGTCAATGTTCTATACTATAATGGTATCTATGTAATGTCATTACGGTATCGGGATAGGTTTATGATTACAAACCGATAGGTTTATGATTAATTGGGGTTATGAACAAACCCGCCTTAAACTTAAGGATTTTGTACAAAATTTGAAGTGGGAGGATTAGTGGCAACCAAGTTTTGGATAGTCCATTGGCTGAAGTGTGATTGGAGAGGATTCTAGAGAGTTAGAGAAGGAGAGATGGCAGTTTTTTTCAGCCAGCCTCTCATCTCTTTTCCTCACTCTCTCCCACATCCCTCTCTTGCTCTCTTTCTCCCATCTGGTTTCACCATCCAAAAATCATCATCCCCATTTTCAGAAACAAGGAGTAGAGAGATAGAAAGAAAAGGATATCAATGGAAGGAAGAAGAAGAAGGAAACAACAGGTGCTGCCAATTTTCGTCCAGCAGCAAAATAGCCTGTTGGAAGGACAATTCTGGACACTCGGGCCGTTGGATCATCTTCAAATTTAGAGGATACATTTCATACGTCATTATCTATGACTGTACCGTTGGGATCATAGTTATAGTTGCTGGTTCATTGAGAAATGTTGCTTAACATAAGGAGTGTGACGTTGTTTTTCATGTAGCGGGAAAACCAATTAGAGCAGAGGAGCAAGCCGGGGAGTCCTCGAAAGGAAAAGGATGGTGGATTATCAATCATAAGTGTGAGTAGATTCTAACCCTAAATTTATATCAATACAAATGCGGTATTTGGGTCATGAAGCGACCCAAGTACATATCATAAATAGAGAGGTATTCGGGTCATGAAGCGCCCCGAGTACTAAGCATGAATATCGAATGAATGAGTAATGAATGTGATATGAGTTTAATGGTTATTATGTTTTAATTTTGTTTATGAATGTGATGAATATTATGTGATGAATGTGAATGATCACGTGTTTACGTTAAAGTATGATATTGACGTGGTAAAATAGTAAAGCCTAAGGGCTTAAAGACAATATTGAGTTAAATTAATGACGGATATGGGTGTAAGGGTAGTGATATAATGAAATGATATGTGATGAATAATTAGTAAATGTGATTTGTGTATGACTATGTGATAATATGTTTGGAATCTGATAACTAATGATTGCGAATAAGAAATGCAAGGTGTATGTGATACAAAGTGGCCTAAAAGGCGATGTTATGGTACTGGAAGCCTATGAGGCGATGAGGGGATAATGTATAACATGAATGGCTATGTGATGATACTAAGATAGTCTAATTGGCTAGCGTGTGATACTAGAAAGTTTGTAAGGCGGAAATGTGATACTGGGAAGCCTATAAGGTGATGATGTGCTTATATGATATGCTGGATATTACTATATGAATGTTGTGATTACATGAATAAATATGTGTTAAGTGATTGATGCTACTGCTTGATACTTGTGATGTGACTAACTAAAGAATTGCTTAATCACCTAAATCAAATCTAATGGCGCCTCGTCGTGCACTCTATGAGATTGGATATGGTGGCTATATGCCTAGCTCTCTGAGAGAGCGATACCAGGCCTGGTTATTGGTGATTATGTATGCATATATTGGCGGTGCGTTATGCATCCATTGGCGGTGCCTAAGGCATCTATTGGCGGCAATGCAGTTAAAATCGCGATTCTACCTAGAAGCGAAAAATGGGTAAAATCGTAAAATTTAGAATCAAAGCGTAAAAGCATAAGTTTTTGACGCACCCTGTATAGTATGTGAAATGTGAGTGTGTAGATTTTAAATAAGTGAATAACTACATGAAATTCATAATTAAAATGTAATGTCTAACACATAAACTAATATGTGTTGACTTAAAAGTAGAGAAAACTCATAACATCTTAATAATAAGCTCATAAACGTAGATCGTAACCCGTAAACGAGCTTGAAAATCCAAATTCTCATAAGCTGGTTTGAGTTTAAATAATTACATACGATCAATTACCCATAAACTTTTATTGTAACCCATGTAAGAGCCACAGGTGAAGATTAAGGGAGAAGACTGATAGAAGGTCACCGGCTGTAGAGAATACTATTAGGTGTCTTTTCAACCTAATGTGAAACCCCTATCTCGACACTAGTTGTAGAAAGAGTGATGAATCATGTTTTCCTTTTTTTTTTTTTTTTTTTGCGGATATGTCTCCAAAATTACATCATTTTGGGCCAATTAGAACATTTTTATGAGATGATCAAAATCGTATAAAAACGCTCCAGAATCGCGATTTTATCGATTTTAAGCGATTTTACTGATTTTACCCATGTTTTTACCAGTTTTTGTGACTAAGCGACTTTAGGTAGAAACTGAAACGTTTTGGTGGCCTGGATACGTAAAAACGTAAGTTTTTACGTTTTAATGTGCGATTTTGACCGCATTGATTGGCGGTGCTTAACGCATCTATTGGCGATGCTTTATGCATCTACAGGATATACCCGGGGGAGTGCATGACAGGGCAAATTAAAGGCTAAAAGACACTTAATATGGCTAACCCCATTATGTGTATTAATGTACTAGTATGAATATGATTGATTACTGGATTATACATGGTTTCATGCATGAAATGCCATAGCAAGGTGAATACGGTGTGTATATGTGCATGATTGATCATGGGAATATGAATGATATGATGAATTGTTTACTGACATGACTTAAATGAGCAAGCTAATGATGCTTCGCATCGTGTTATGGTTTATGTGATTTGTATTTTGATAATTTTATGTGAATGAGTAATGGTGCCCCAGCACCAACATGTGATTGCATGTCAGTAGAGATATCATATGATAGATACTGAAGAGTGATATTAGATAGGGGTGAACAAACACACCCGGAAACCGACCCACCCGTCCAACCCGACCCAACCCATCCGTATTTATCGCTAAAATGAAGGTTTTGGGTTGGGTGGGGGTTTTCTTTTGTACAACCCGCCTCTTTTGGGTTGGGTTTGGATTTTGGATTACACAACCCGTAGAACCCGACCCAACCCGTGTTCCAACTATTAGTATGAGTTCGAATCTAAAAAATATTTATGTACTATATAGTCATATACTTATGAGAAAATTAAGATATTTCACCATGTTTTTCTCTCATGGTCTCCCTAATCTAATGCATTCTTCGACTTAAAGTTTAGACATAAATTGAATATAGTTATGATTCACGTAATCCTTTTTCTTGTGTACAATTTTAATAGAATAACATATGATGGATGTGTTTGTTTATAACATTTTTAGCCTATTTCAACAAATATCGTGAAAAAACAAGACATATGTTGAAGTAAATTACATTTTATTAAAATTTAAACAACATTTGTGAATTTTCATACCTTTCACTTTGGTTCATTCGTTTGAAATTTTAATTAGTTATAAAATATTTTTATCATGTAGAATAATTATATATTTTATGTTGGGTTGGGTTTTTACTTAAAAATATCGCCAACCCGACCCAACCCAATTAGAAACAAACCGTAGGGTTTAAATATTTTTGGGTGGGTTTGGGTTTGATATTTGCCAAACCGTAGTGCATGGATCGGGTGATTAAAATGACTAAACCCGAACCACCCGACCCATGTACACCCCTAATATTAGATGCCTAAGCACCGTGATAAGTGAATTGTGAAGTGATTGCTACTGAATGGTAATGAGATAGTTCTTCCATTGATGATCGAAATTATAATTGGGTAATAAGTGGAATGATAGGCATTAGGAGTGAGCAGCAAATGACGTGTAATTAAAGGGTGCCATGCTAAATACCGCTTGTGTATTGTGGTTTATTTAGATTTAGAATTTACTCATTGAGCGACGACTCATCCTTCGTCAAATATTTTTCCCCAGATCTAGAGTAGCTGCAAGAAGTGGTAGAAGTAGAAGCAATGGCTTCAATCTTCAAGTTTTGATTCATGAGGTGGGCGGAAGGCTAAACATGTTTCCACATGGAATATATTGTCAAACGGCTTACCTTTTTGTACTTTGATTTGCAAAGTTTTTAAATCGAGCCTGAAAACCTTTTATAATATGTAAAAGCGAGTGATCCGTTATGGTGTTACATTGGGTCTAGACCAAGTTCACAAATCAAATTATCTGTTACGAAGCATATATCACGATATTTTTGGTTCAATAGGTCTAAATTCATTATTGTCTCAATCTCAATCTACAACCTCTGCTTCATAGCCTTGTAGTCAAATCAATAGCTCAAACCTTTTACTTAAATACATATATAAACGTCACCTCACATATTAGCAAAGTTGAAGGATCATTGTACACCATAGTTTCCTCGCAACACAGAATAACAACATCAACACGGAGATGAAAGTCGATGTTTTACCGATAGCAAAATCCAAGAAAAATAAATTAAAAGAAGAGTATGTGTATGCAGCTCCAAACTTCGACCTCTAATGTCAAATTTGACAGAATTTTCTATATTTAGAAACATCCGAAATTATAGCCGACTTCTACTTTGCAATTCAAGAGAAGAACCAACACCAATGGAAAACAAAAAAGAAAGAAAGAAAGGTGGTGAGCAAAAAAAAATCAAAGAAAAGAAAGTACCACTTCACAATGCAAAAGATAACCATAAACAATGACGAAATAATATCGAGAATGATATCATCGTTGAGAAGAGATGAACGTATGAAAACCTTTACAAACATTGCCATTCATATAGATAATATGCTCCAATTATTCTTTTTCTTGCCTAGCTTAACCCTCATCCTTCTAAGTACCATTCCATCACATTTATCCCAATTCCATTCCATCCCTCCATCTTGAAAAATCTTCATCCTTATTTCTTTTATCATAATAACCCATCGATTTATTTTTTTCGTTGCTTCTGCTCATTCATATTTCCTTCGTATGTTTACAATCAACAGGGTCGTGAATCGGCACCCTGTCCTGCCTATCCTCCTTGCATGTTTAGGGTTTTCAGGACTGTGTATATCCATGGTGAGGATGGAACCAGGCCTCAGCTCATTTTCACTGGAGAGATGGTTTTCAGGGGACAATCATCATAGCTTTCTTCAGACTGTTAACAAGGCAACCGTTTCTCATGCCACCGCCAAGGCCGCCGCCGGTATGACCAATAACTCTGAACCACCGGCGGTCGTCGTCCCTCAAATCCCTATCATATGCCATAAAACGGGGCCTCTCCCCCACGGGAACCAATTCTACGCAGATGACATCCTTCATTTCCCTTTCAAGCTCATACTCATGCAAGCAATTTTAATCATAACCATTACCAGGGTGGTTAGATTCATTCTCAAACCTCTTAAGCAACCTAAAGTCGTCTCCGAGATTATCGTAAGTAATTTCTTTCTATTATTTTATTTATTTATCTTCGATCGAAACTATTCAATTAATACTAATAAATAGAGATTTTATCGAATTTCTTCAGAGGGACCTCATAAATAGAGATGTAAATTGTATACAATCACACATATATATTGCTTTGAGTAGATAGTTTGATTGAGTGCATCTGAGAGAGTAGCAAGTGTTTGCCAATAACATGCGATTGGAAAAATATTATCATTGTGTTAGACATTTTGGTTTATTAAAACCTTCACATCGTTATCTTAGATGTATTGAGATGACAAAATCTTAAAAACTTGAAGGTATGAAGTATTTCAATGTGAATTACAGACTAAATAAATGGCTTCCGCATATTTTTTTACGGCTTACACAAAGATTTTGTACAATAAAATTAATGCAGACATTACTTTTATCTCATTTTTAGGGTGGCATAATCATGGGGCCTTCGGTGTTAGGGCGGAATGCAAAGTTCTCCGCCATCTTTCTGCCACCAAACGCCCAATTCGTGGCGAAAAATCTCGGGCTCATGGGTTTCATGTTCTTCCTCTTCCTCAGCGGAGTGAAGATGGACGTATCAGTCATCAAAAAATCCGGCAAGAAAGAATGGTTAGTGTGTATCATCGGGATGGTGATCCCAATAATACTTCTAACAGTAGTGTTCATCTTACTCAAGCCAGCAATGGACCCAGAGCTGTCCAAGATATCCTCCATCGGAGCCGTCGTCGGCTTGCTCTCCATCTCTGCATTCTATGTCATCCACCCAATCCTCCAGGAGATGAACCTCCTGAGCTCCGAAATTGGGCGAATTGCCCTCTCCACCTCGATCATCATCGACGTCATAGGAATCATCTTCCTCGTTGTGTTCGAGGTGATGAGGCACGCAGAACATGGCGCTAGGGCAGCTATATGGTATAATGTTTCTGTAGTGGTGTTGTTGTTGTTCATGGGAACGACGGTACGTCGGATGGTGAGGTGGATCATTGACAAGCACCAAGTTGGTGAGCCCATACGTCAAGTTTACATAGTGGTTCTTGTTCTGGGTTCAATGGTGGTGGCCTTTTTGTCGGACATGTTTGGGATTGGGATTGCTAATGGGTCGTTTTGGCTAGGGCTGGTGATCCCTGACGGACCTCCATTAGGGTCGACCATCGTCGAAAGGACCGAGACCTTCATATTGCATCTGTTTATGCCATTTTCATACATTTTCATTGGCATGCTTGTGGATGTGGTGGCGATGGTGAGTGCTCCTTGGTCGCTTCTCTACCCGATTTTCACTATTGCGTTGATCGGGTGCGTGGGGAGGTTTTTTGCCAACATGATTGCTTCTTTGGTGTTGGAATTGTCGATCAAAGAGCGGATTAGTTTGAGTCTCATGCTGAGCTTGAGAGGTCAAATGGAGTTCATCATTATGGTGCATTGGTTGGACAAAGGGGTATGTATATATCTAGCTATTGCATCCTTCATTCTCTCCTCCTATCTCTCTCAATATAAAGAAGTTACACCTAAAGTCATAACATAGTTTTCTAGAATAAGGGGAATCCATGTTTCATGAGTTTAGTGATGGCAATTTGAACCTGCTCCGACCTGCGATGGGACGGGTATTACACAACCAACATTAGTGTGGGACGGGGCATAGGTATCTACTTCCGACCCGTCCTATCTCGTCACGTATCTATTCATCTTTTGACTTATCTTCAACTAATTAGGCTCGATATTTCAACTAGTTAGACTCAACTACCCATTCTATTACCACTATTTTCATTCATAAAGTGTTTTCCCACTTCGTATTATGGTAAAAAGTAAAATTTTGCGTATATTTTTTTCAAGTAACGTGTAAAAGTGGGTCAACCCACCCCACCCCATAACCCACAGATATTACTCGCCCCAATCCATGGAGCGGGGCATGGTATAATGTGCCTGCCCCGCCCCGTACCATAGTCATCACTAGTTAATCTTGCTATGTGTTAGATCATGACCATTGCTTTCCTGTGTGCCGACTGTGTTTGCAGATAATAGGGATCCCATCATACTCCATGTTAATTTTACTCTCAACAGGCGTAACATTCATCGTGACCCCAATCTTCGGGTCCCTCTACGATCCTACAAGGCCTTACTTTATCAGCAAATGGAGGACCATTCAACACACACCTCCCAACTCCGAGCTCAAGATCCTTCTTTGCATCCATGATCACGAAACCCTAGCTGGCCTCCTGAACCTCCTTGAGTTCACCTTCCCCACACAGGCCAGCCCCTTAGACATCTACGCCCTCCACATCGTCGACATGATCGGTCGAGCCGCCCCGATCTTCATCGACCACGCGCAGCAGCGCCTCCCCACAAAGTACGCCAACTCCTACTCCATCCACAACTCCCTCAGATTCTACCAGGAGTCCAAACGCGACCTCATCCAACTCCACTCCTTCACCGCCATCATCCCCAAGCGAACCACGTACCAGGACGTTTGCGAGATGGCGCTCACCAGAAAATCCGCTCTCATCATCATCCCTTTCCACAAGAAGTGGGTGGAGACCATGCCAGACGCCGAGTCCGGCACCTTCACCACCACCGTCCTCGCCAAGATCATGGACCACGCGCCCTGTTCCGTCGGCGTGCTCATCCAGAAGGGCGAGTTCCAAAACCCAATGTTCGCCATCTCGGACCCTTATGCCGTGCACCAGTTCATCGTGATCTTCACGGGCGGCCCTGACGCGCGTGAGGCGCTGGCGTATGCGGACAGAATGGTGATGAACCCATACGTGAACATGATGGTGATCCGGTTCCTCGCCGTGAACAACCGCGGCGACGACGAGATGGAGAGGAAGCTTGACGACGGGATGCTGCAGTGGTTCATGGCGAGGAACGAGGCGACACGCCGGATAGGGTATCAGGAGATTGAGGTGAACAACGGGGAGGAGACGCTCGCGTCGATTCACGCGCTCAAGAATATTAACTACGAGATGTGGATCGTTGGGAGGGAGCGTGGGATTAACCCGGTGTTGCTCGAGGGTTTGTCTAACTGGAGTAATCACGACGAGCTGGGGGTGATCGGGGATTATGTGTCATCTAGCGATTTCGGGACGGTGTCGTCGGTTTTGATTGTACAGCAACAGCTTCTACGAGGGAAAGAACGTAAAAAGCCTAAACTTAGAAGCTTGTCTCTGAATTACTTTTAGGATTTTTTTAACTTTTTTTTTAAATTTGTAATTCTAAAGTTTAATGATAAATTTTTGGAGTTTGGTTCATCCAATTAGACCATCCGCAACCATAAAATAGATAGATTATCTATTTCATATGTGTCAACTCAACAACTTTTACAATTTCACTATTTAACTTTCATTTCAACTACATTAATGAAATCTATTCACAATTTCATATGGTGGACCCAACTATATAATAACCCACTTGTTCAAAGCATAAACAAATATAACATGAAATAAGAAAATAAAGTAAATAGACAAAACCTTATAGTGGGTCCACTTTGCCTATTTGATATGGAATATCATTTAGTGAAATATTTCAAGAATGAAATAGCAAGCTACAAGAATGAAATATGGAAAAAAAAAAAGTGGTCATATCACTATGAAATAGGCAAAAGACATCCATTGTGGATGCTCTTAATTAGCTCATGGATTTGCTTATAATCTTTATTTCTTTCAATTATTCAATACTCGCTGATCCTTTTTATGTCATATTGATCGAGTTGAAAAAGGTATATGAAAATATCTAGTGGGGTCCTTTGAATGAAGGAATCTCATAGCATGGCCAAATGTTTAAATATGTGAAATTTCAATCGATACATGGAATTTAAACTGATAGAATAATTAAATACGGGAGTGTGTGAAGCTGCTCAACGGAGTGTGAGTCCTCCTTCCACATCTACAAGGCGAAGGCTGGTTCTGTATGTGATTCGACCACCTTTGTGGTTCGGTCTTGCCAGAGTGAAGCCATATACTTGTTATAGGGTTATGGGGCTTTAGTGTATTTTCACTTTTTTTCTTACACTGTGTTTTTTGGCAAGGAAAAGGAGGGGAGGGGAAGAGTTGGGCGGAAAGTGGGAAGCCCAAGAAACTTTCCGCTGTTTCCGAAGAGAGGAAAGTAGGGGGGGAAAGGAAAATGGAGCGGAAGATCTACTGAGCAAACCTCACCTCCAAATCGGAGGGAAAGGTTGTTTTGGTGGGCCTTTGTCATTTTTTTGTTTTCTTTTCAAACTCAAACACGTTGGTTGTATAAAAATAAATAACAAACGTTGATGATAAAGCTTAGTAAAAATAAATGCCTCGTAAAAACGGAAAAGAGAAAGAAAAAAAGAAAGAAAAAGAAGAAGAAAGCTTAGTAGTTAGAAAGTTTATTTTATTATATTTTCGTTGGTTTCTAGGAGAGTAGGTAATCATAATTAGCCATGATCCCATAAAAATAAATAAATCTTTTTTCTTATTTTTATAGTTATAGTTATTTTTTTCTTTTTTAACTACATTGAAATTTAACTACATTGAATCATTTTTAATGGATTTAGAATGCTTTTCGCTTGATCAATTATTATAAAGTAGGGATGGCAAAAATATCTGTAACCATGATATCCGCCCGAATCCGACCTAATTGGGTAGGGTAAAACCCGAACCCGAAGGACTGTTAGTGGGTACGGGTAAAACTCGAAACCGAATATTGTGGGTAATAGGTGGGCATGAGTTTCTCACTATCCAACCCGAACCCACCCGATTATACACATGCATATGTATTTTTCTAGAAATAATCATTAGTTTTCTACCTGTTTCTTATGTGGGTATGGGTAAAACCTGAACTAAATTGGATAGAGTAACGGATATGCACTATCCGCCCCCGACCTGACCCATTGTCATTCCTATTATAAAGTCTCTATTTATATAAAAGTCTCTATTTTTTTCCGGTACAATCTTTTGTGCGGTTTAGAAAGAAATTACAAATTTTATTCACAATTCATAAGTAGAATATTAATATACAACCAAATTATTTTACTATTACATAATCAATAAAATAACATATTCATCACACTTCCCAATACACACTTTCCTTCATAAAACAACATTTTCCTCCCAATTTCCTTTACCTCTAAATCTCCCCTCCCCTCCTAAATTCCCTTCACCTCCCCTCCTTTTCCTCCCTTCCTTCGGAAACATAGTGTTAGGGAACTAATAGAGTTGCCCATTGCGTGGCAAAAATGGCTCTTTTATAGGCATGTTGATTAGTATTGGCTGCCGTTTTTACGTTTCAATCTTGTATACACCTAACGATTTATAATCTATCTATGGCAACAACAAAAATTACGGGAGCGGATAGAGTATAAAACTCAGGCCTGCAAAAATCCGATCATATCATCGTATTATATAACATGGTGATACTGATATGATGATATGTTGTATCATATTATCACCAAGTCGTGATATGATGATGTGATCGGGGTTATGCATGGTTTTGCAGGTTGGAGTTTTGTTTCGGAATCCAAACCATTAGATACTATTTTTTTAGATAGATAATTTTAGAAAATGAATTGTGTTACTTATTTATATTCTTTCTAAAATGGAGTTGGCAAACTTCGCCTCTGTAAGATAAAGGTTTAAGGAATTCGTTTGATTTTGGTGATACTTAAGGGGTCGTTTGCTTGTGGGATTTGGGTGTTGTATTTGGCACCTAAATAATGTATTTGATTAAAAAATATTGTTGTTGAGGTATAAAATCCGTAGGCCCCATGGATTTGGATCTTTTTTTTAGCTCCAAATCTCTGGATCCCACGTATTTGCAAATACCACATTTCATTTGGTATTTGCAAATACCACATTATGGAAGGCAAATTTTTGAGACCCAAATACCAAATGAACTAAATCCATGATAAAAATTCAATTAAACAAACAATGTAATCTTTCAAATACAAAATGCAATAAATCCATCATAAATCCAAAGGTTTTCAAAACTCAAAACCTCCATTTTCAAATCCAACAAGCAAACGAGCCTTAAATTGATGCATTGTAAACTATATATGTATAATATACATACATATATATATATATATATATAATTGAAGAAATTGGTGTATTATGATTTCCATCATTTGATTTTAGATTTTTGTGATAGTTATTTTAGTTTTTAGGTTAAATAATAATTATTAGCTAAATCTATCAAATACAAATAATTAATTAGCCACACGTTAACTCCTCTGTATTTTATACAAGAATTTGTATATCTAATAGGAGGAATTCAACAATGCTATATAGCATTGGTGCTATAGGTTTTTTCCTTTATGGTACAATTTGAAGTTATACCCCATGTTATGAAAATCGGGCCGGACCAGCCGGTCAGACCGGAAAAACCCAGACCTGAGCACAAATCCGGCCCTGGAAGCATGGAAAACGGGCGGCCTTTGTGGCTCACCTTTTTTTATTGTTTTTCCAATGAAAAACTAAACAGGCGCCTGTCGTACCTTTACCCCCTTCCCTTTTTGCTTTCTTTCAATTAACAATTAAACAAAAAGAAATCAAGCCAAGAGAAAAACGAAAAATTGACCCCTACCTACAGTCTCCTATTCTCTGACTTGTCAGTTTTAACTTAGCTTTCTTCCCACTCTAATTTTCTTCTTCCTTTTATATAATAAAATAATTCTTTCTTTCTTTTAGTGTAGAGCCAAGCGACGGTTTATGACCGGTTTTTGGTAGCGGTTCGATAAACCTTGAACCTCTCATTAATCCGGATCGATGTCCAGTTCGGTTTTGACAATACTGGTTATACCTTTAATGTTATACTACAACTTCGGATTGTAACTATACTTTTTTCGATAAATTTTTCTATGGCACAACTTGAACTTATACCTTTATGTGATGGTACAACTTCAAGTTGTACCATAACATAAGAGTACAAATTCATTTTTATGGTACAACCTGAACTTATACATTTGACGTTATGGAGTTATGGTATTGGTACACCTTTAAGTTGTACATTAAAGCACCAATGCCTTATAACATAATAGAAGTGCTCATCAAATAGATCACGATGGATTGGTTCCTTCTGTGTAAAAAATTTCAAAATTCGAGTTGAAAACAAAGTTGGTACCATGTGGTACCAAGGTGGTAACGAGTGGTATGAGATTTTTTCATGAAATATATTGAAATAGATCTCATTCTATAGATCACAACGAACTCGTTCTATCTATGCAAAAAAAAAAAAAAATCCAAATTAGAACGAAGAAGATAAGAGCTGATTAGGAAAACTAGAGAAAATAAAAGGCTATTAATTCTCACCCTTATATCTTTCTGACCCCACTCAAAACTAAGAGCATATATCTCGTTTATGTAAGGGTGTATAACCCTTGGTTATGCACCTTATCCTACAACCTTGTTGAACCTTAACAATGGCACAAACCGATTTGACAACTTATATTACTAAGCCGAGAAGAAGTGAAAATATGGACCCTTAATTTTGAGTGGGGTCTGAACTCTGAAGGCTCCAATTCTAATTTGGATTTCAATTTTTTTGCATAAATGGAACAACTTCGTTGTGATCTACAAAATGAGAAATATTTTCAATGTATTTTAAAAATAATTTACATATCATGTATACCAATCATTACCACCTTGGTATCACTTGGTAACACCTCCGTTTTTAACTCAAATTTTGATTTTTTTTTTTTTGCACAGATGGAACTAGTTTATCGTGATTTATGTGATCTACAAATTTCTGGAAGAAAATACAGGACTAAAATGTACCACTCCATACCACCCTTGTACACAATGATGAATGCGGTAAATGACAGTTCATATATTTCTACAATAATGTATTCAACTATTATACACTCACAATTTTTTTTCTTCCAAAATATATCAAAGTGAATATTATTTTGAAGAGCGCAATTAATATAATTTAATTGTGAAATAAATCAAATTACAATTTAAAACGAAAGGGATTAGGGATGGCAATGGGTCGGATACGGTGCAGATACCTTATATCCACTATCCACAATTTATGCCCGCGGGTTTTACCCATCACTGCCCCGCTAAACCAAATGGGCACAAAATCTGGAACAAGCCCAAGTCCATCCAGATTTCAGTGAATCCACGGGTCACGGGCTACCCGCCAATATATAATAAAAACCATCCTCCAGATCAAACCAACATACCGAATGAAGTAAAATTAAACTGAAAGCAAGACTTTTAGGACATTCAACCATGAACTTGCAAACCCATGACTTGTCTGAAATCCAGAAATATAACAATGATAATAGTTGAACTAAGAAGTGAAACCTGTTTATCTCAGGTAACAATAATACATCCGAGCTAACAAAGAAAACAAAGCAATCCATGATGTTCTCAGACCAGCTAAGCAAAGCATAGCAGCAGACAACAAAGCAAAACAATAGTTCATCTTTCAGCAGCAGAACAACAAACCATCATTCACCATTCATTCCTTAACTACTGCCTAAAGGACAAGAATATGCAATATGACAATTTCAAAATGTGTTCAGAATTTAACACAAAAGCAGCAAACCATCATTCACCATTCATTCCATAAACCTAGAGCTAGTCCAGCAGGCTGATGACAGCAGCTACATCATCCTCATCTCCTTTCTGCTTCGATTGACTTCCATCTCCATGTGTTACAAAGCAATATGGTTAGAAAAGAGCAGAAATCTAAATTACTGAACTCGTCATAGTTATACAAAGAAACCAGTTACCTGTGCACTCTTCCACCGAGGCATCATCCATTGCCATAGCTGAGAAAACCCCCTCCAGAGCTTTTAATTCCGAGGCAGACACTACAAAGAAGGGAAAGCAAGAATTAATTGATTAGTTTACAAAGTAAGAAATACAAAACACAGCAAAATAGTAGAATGGATCTAAAACAGTCACCTTTGCTATCATCATGAATCCATGTCCTCAATATCATCATGGCTTCCGCTGTTTTGGGATCAAGCCTGCTCCGATGGGGTCCAGAAGCCTCCCACCAGAACTAAGGGCAGATTCAGAAGCAACACTTGTAACAGGGATAGCAAGTAAATCCCTTGCAATGTCTTGCAAAATGAGATACTTGGCACCATTGAATTTCCACCAACCAAGCAAATCTAAAGATGGTGTTCTAGGATGAACATCCTCAGGTAAATAGTGATCTAACTCAGTGGTTACTACCATTGGTCTGGGTTTTTTTCTTCCTTTGGCTCACATATAGATCAAAATCCATATCTGTGGCTGAAGAAGAAGGATGTGAAGTAGAAAAAACAACAGTGTTTTTAGAGGATTTCCTCTGATACTCGACAACCAAGTCAGCAACAACATCTTTGACCCTATCAATCACAAGGTCAGTACTTGAAATACCAAATTTGGTAGCATAGTACCCAACCAAATCCAATTTGTACCGCAGATCCATCACAACAGCCACGGCCAGCAGCAAATGTATATCATCCCAGTATTTGGTAAACTTACCCCACATGTTCGCAGCCATAAAAATGATCATCGGATTAGGTTCAACTAACCACTCCATCAAACGCAACCCCAAGTCACAATCTTTAGCAAAAAACAGATTGGCTGTAGGATAGTTTGAACCAGAAAACATAGCAGTTATGTCCTTGAAAACCTCAAGTTTTCCACACAAAATTTCAGCAAACTCCCACTGCTCGTTGTTTGGCAGAGAGTTGTATTGAGGTTCCCTTCTTTTCATAACAGAGAACAAACCCTTATAAGGAATAGCTGCAGAAAGCATCTCATATGTAGAATTCCACCGAGTGGGACAATCCAACACCAATTTCTTAGAAACAACCAGCTTTAGTTGCTGGGCAGTCCCATGGAAAATTTCAACTCTCCTAGGTGTGCATGTCCAAAATACCACACTCTCCCTGATGTTCTCAATTTCATCCTTAAGAACATCTATGTCATCCCTCACAATCAGATTAAGGATGTGCGCATAGCACCTCATATGAAGAAGTGTCACATCCCTAATCAGATTAGATAGGACCCATCTTTGTTTAACTAGATTGATCATGGAATCATTGGTAGTACAATTGTCAAGAGTAATTGTCGACAATGTACTATCAATGTTCCATGATTCGAGGCATTTAACGAGCTTTGCAGCCAACCTCTCGCTAGTGTGTGGGGCAGGGAGATAACCAAACATAATCAGATGGTTCCTAAGCTTCCAAGAATTGTCTATGCAATGGGTAGTGACAGCCATGTAAGCCCTTTTTTGGTTTGTTGCAGTCCACATGTTAGTGGTGATAGCTATCCTCCCTTTGTTTTGGTCCATGACCTTTTGAATTTTAGACTTCTCTAAATCATAAATAGTCACGAAGTCATTTTTTATGGTATTTCGGGTTGGGACTTTGAAGAGAGGGTTCAAGGTGCAGCAAAATCTTGTGAAGTAAAGGTGGTCAACAATAGAAAGGGGATACTCATGCACCAAGATCATGGTGCAAAACTCCTTTCTAGACACCTCACTACTGAATTGATTGGCACTCATGTCAGCTGTACCATTAACATTGTAGTTAGCACCAAGAACTTAAGAGGGAGAAACAAGTAAAACGTCTTAGAATTATGTCTAGTTGTGTTCTTATTATATAAAAACGTTTACAGAGTAGAGATTAGTTGTTTAAAAGATTCCAACTTAGCTATTTTGACCTTAAGTGAACAGTTTAGAAGTTGCCAACTAATTAGAACAGTCAGCAGTGTAAAAGTTTATTGGAAGTTGTTTAAAATTTCCCAACCTATCTGTTAAAAAGTTCCCATGCATCTAATTACAACAGTGAGCAGTGTAAAAGTTCCCAACTAAGTTGTTTCGAAGTTAAGTACTTAACTGATTAGATGTGTTTTGTACTTAAGCATAGCATAAACAGAATCAATTTACTGAAACTATTCAAACGTAACAGATTAAATGTGTTTAGTACTTAAGTATATCATAAACAGAATCAATTGACTGAAACTATTCAAACTTCACAGATAAAATGTGTTCACCATTATTAATTACTACTTAAGAATAGCATAAACCAAATCATTCACTACCATATTAGTTGTGTTCGATCTTATATTTTATACATTCAATTCAGTTTACTTGTCGAACAACCAACAACAAACAAGGTCGACGACTTACCTCAGCAGATTGTAGTTTAAGCAGCACCTGCTTGATGGGACTCTTGAACAGCAAGCTGCAAAAACAAACAAGCAGGAAAAATTAATCAAACAAACAAATGATCTGGAAAGCTTGCTTAAGGGTTAGATCGAGGGTTATTGGTGATAGGAATGTCGATTTAGGCCGAAAATATGTACAGAAATGAGCAAAAATCGACGAATTAGAAGGGATTTGGGAAGAAATCGGCGATTCGCCGTAATAGGGTTGAGAGGAAATTAGGGATGTTGGCGGTGGGTTGTGGTGAAAAATGAGTTTTCCAGTCTCTAACCATAAAATCGACCCTTATATACGCCTACCAAAACGACGTCGTTTTGTTAGCGGGGCGGATACGGGGCGGGCATCACTGAATCCGTCCCCAACCCATCACCGAGTCTCGCGGGTCGCGGGCCTGCTCGTCACCGCAATGCATTTTATCCTCGTGGGTTTCTGTCCATCTTTAGCGGACGGCGCCCGACAGATGTCCAAAGCCCGCGGGCTCATTGCCATATAGGGTGTTAAAATTTATAGGAAAATAGGTTAGAAACGTTCTGGAAGATAATGTGGAAGGTTATGCATAGTTGATAGTACCGTCGGCGTTGAACCAATAGACAGGCCTCCACGCCCACGGCACCGGCTGCTCTTTTTCTTTTCGTCGGTCGCTACCGGCTACTCTGCTGTTCCCTTCCTTCGACACTCCATCGCTTCCCCGTTTCAGCATTTCGTGTTCGCGAATCCATCGGACGGTCGGAGTAATCTCGTCGGAAACTGCATAAGAAGAGGAAACCGTCGTCTTTCGCGATCTCAGGAAGAAAATCTAGCCGATACTCGTTTCAGGTAAAGTGAGATTCGGAACTTCTGATGCTCCGCCATGTGATTCTCTCTCATAGCAACTATTGCGATTCTCTCTGATTGTTCCCTGGCTCTTCAATCGGAAGTGACCTAGTTCCTGGCTATGGTATGTCTGCTTTCTTTTCGACTGATTGCCCATTTGTGAGATTGAATATCAATAGGTACCTGTCTACCCGCCCTCTGTTGCCGCAATTTCTAGGCACATGAATGAGTTTAGCCGGGAGGGTAGTGCTTAATTGCATTGTTAACGACGTTTAAATCCATTCAATTTCTGGAAGCAGAAATTGCGCAGCTTTTAGGACAATTGGAAGGTACAGGACAGTAGGTTGGCAAATAGGTGAAGGGAAACTGTAATTCATACTTTCAGGCCTAAATCTTGTCTGGGGGCTTGTGGGCACTGATTTGTTTGGCCATGTTTGCTTAAATTGAGTTTGATTTGTTCGTTTTTGTCATTGTAGGTATGGATGATGAAGCTCCCAACTCTCTCCGGCGGATGTCAAGCAGGACCCGTAAAGTCGCTCCAAAGATGGTCGCAGCCCTTGCCAGCACAGATAATCGTACTCAGGTGTGCAGTGAGCTTTATAAAACATTTGTATTAAGAGCTTGAATTGAGTTTTGTGTTCTTACGAGGTTTACCCAGTAGACATGATTGTTTGCTTTCCTGTTGAATCTGTTATTTACAGGCGGCTCTTGCTCGTCTCGAAGCATTGGAGAATGATAATGCAGGGCTGGAAACAGTAGAACCTGTTGATGACGACGAGGCTTCTCTTGACGATGATGACGAAGGTTTGTGACCTTCACTTCATCATGGATTTCGGATTTATGCCTGGGTTTTGTCTTGCTTGTCCTACTTGGCTACTAAAGTTTGAAGGGATGTTGAAGACAGCCAGAAAAAGAAAGTAGTTTTTTTTTATGGTTCTATCCAGATCCGGGGCATCATTTGAGAATACTTCAGCACTAGGCTGCTACTTAGTTCCTCTTTCTTGTACTGTCTCCCTGATGATCTCTTTTCTAGCAAAATGCTCCTTCAGCAATCAGAGTTCTCCAGGTCTACTTGGCTATTCTGAATGTCCAGATAATTCTGATGTTGGGCTCGTCCTTTGCACCAACCTGTCTCGTTTGAACATTTCAGTTCAGCAGGGATGGGATACATTTCCAACTTCTAAAATGGTCCTATTTAGTTACTTAAGATTCATTTTGTCGATTTGGACTCCTGATCCTTATCATACACAATGTCGATATTGCCTTCAGTCTATTGTTTTTTTTTTTTTTTTTTTTTTGCTGCATTATTAAGGTTCTTCCATCGCCTGTCTCAGGATATGTTCAAAAGAAGGCCAAGGGTACTAAACGCAAAACTCGACAAGCGAAGGCACTTGAGAATGCTAGGAAGCCACCAAGAAACTTTCTCGAGCTCTTACACGAGGTTACCATTGCGTAATGACTTTGTCTTCATGTGCTATTTTTTAACCTTCAATCAGTTCTCTGAACAAGTGACCTTGATGTTCTTAACAGGCAAATCTGGAGTCTTTGCCACCCCAAGTTCCATCTTACTTGAGAGCAGCAGTTGGGCCACCAAGTTCAACATGCCGCAGACATTTCTGTACCGTTTGTGGGTTCGCTTCCACCTATACATGCGTGAGGTGTGGTATGCGTTTCTGTTCTATTCGTTGCCAGACCATACATGACGATACTCGTTGTCTCAAATTTGTGGCCTAAGGTTAAAAGCAATGAAAATGAGTATTGCTGTTTGTACATATGAAACTGGAATGACGTGATGAATATCTACCGTGATTTGGGGCGGACTAACTTTGAATTTTACTTATTAGCTATTGATTTCCACTTGTGACTACAGAACCCAATAGTACAGCATTCTGAAACAGAAGACCAATGCTGGTATGCTACCACCTCTGGAAATGAGTACCAGATGGTTTCATTGACAAGAGAGAGAAAGCAAGTATACAACTATAAAACACGTAACTAAAGAAATCAAACAAACAAATATATAGATTCTGAGAAACCAAGCCAATCAGTAGCAATAGTAACCAAATAATGTAAAGGAGAAGAAGTTCCAGTTGAAGTCTTCAACATCGGGGTAGATCCAGTGGTGCATACTGCACAGACTGCAGCAGCCCAACTCCGTTCTCGACTAGCAAAGCCGTGGCCAGGCCCCAAGTCAAATGTGAATCAATGTGGCAATGCAGCAGCCAGATTCCTGTTCCCACCAAAATCAGAGTCAGATGAGTTTGAAGAACATGGAGGAAATTGGGAGGTAAACATGGAAAGTTAGCTTTTAGCTCATGATATATACCTGGATTATCGGCCACGAATCTAATGGCAGCCCATCCGCCTGGCGGGGTACCAATGGTGTTCCTGTAAGGTGGATCAATGAGGTTGAATTTAGCAGGATCAGTTGATGGATTGAAGTTTCCAGTACCCATCCCAACAACATAGAAAGAGTAGCCATGGAGATGCATAGGATGCTCCTCCGCCGTCACGATGCTAGTATCCTGCAGCACAATCTGTACTCTGGCGCCAAACTTGAGCTTCAGAAGTTTCGTCCCACGAGTAGGCTGCCAGAGCCCCCGACTCACGTTTCCGGTGTAGTCAAACTTCACAGGAGGCGTGGGAGGGAAATCGGTGGTGAAGACGCCAGGCTGACCCTGAATGTATGCCTGCATCAGGGAATTCCTCCTGGGAAACACGAAAGACACATTGTTGATGCTGGCGGCCAATCTGGTCCCGTTCGGGCCTTGGCAACGAGGACTGTTGGGATTGGTACAGTTGATAAGCCCCAGCCCTACCGTGAAGAACAAGTTGTCGTCAATCTTGGTTGGTACGTTCACCTTGGATTTGAGGCTCTTCACCTGGGAAGCGAATGCACTGGCAGTGTTGGTGTCATTGAAGGCCGGTAATTGAGGAAGAAGCGGAGGTCGGCTCGAGGCAGACTTGTATTCCAGGATCGCAGTTGTGGTGGTGTTGTCGAAAGCTTGATTCTGGCCGCTCTCATAAGCTCGAGCTGCCATGTAGTACTGACCAGGGGATTGGTCAGCTTTCAGGAGAACATTGGTCGTCTGGCCAGGCCCCACCATCACGACAGAAGTCGTGAAGGGTTTTGTGTACGAAGCATCGGCTTCCACGACAGTAAGCTTGTGGTTTGCCACTGCAAAGTACAGCTCTTGATTCAATGCCGAGTTGATGATCCTAAGGAGAATCGTTTCTCCTGCTCTCACTGGGAACTTCATGGTTTCTGCAGCGATTTGCCATCTCTTTAGTTAACTCAGCTATTAGCAAAAAAACCAAAGAAAGATTGGGATTGGGGGTAGAGACTCCACCTTTGTTGGAGCATCTGTAGAGATCGCCTGGCTGGCCGTTAATGGTGTAGGCATCTGACACATTCGGAGCTCCTCCAGTGAAAAGTGCCTGCTTCTGAACATCCAGTGGATTCCTATCCCACCACTGCCCTGCAAGTTCATTGAATTAGTTCAGTACTTAGAAGTATGGAAGAAGAAGAAGAAGGAACTTGGTAAGAAACTGAATGTTGCAGTATACCTAGCATGACAGGGAATTCTCTCTTAGGCATGGGGAAAGGGTACGGAGATCCCTTTTCCGGACGGACGATGAGAGCACCATAGACGGTGGCTCGGAGCCATCTGCTGTGAGCATGCCACCACATTGTGCCTTCCTGGTTTTCGAGTGTGTAACGGTAAGTATAGCTCCTCCCTGGCTGGATGGGGCATTGAGTCACGTACTCTGGACCGTCGGCCCATGGATTCCGTAGCTGCTTCACTCCATGCCTGAACAAAGAACAACGTACAGAGGGTTCTGAGTTATCATGAAAGGAATATCTTGTTATGCTGTTCACGATGAAGCTGTGATGTTGAGTCGACTAGTTTTACCAGTGGAGGGATATGTTATATTGAGCTTTGTTGATGGCCTTGATGACAAGTGTGTCGCCATTTCGGACCTCCAATGTCGGCCCTGGGAACTGGCCGTTCACTGTGATGGTGCTATGAGTTCTGCACAACCTCTTCACTGGTTTTGCTTCGATCTGTTTCAGTTCATTCATTATAATTCCATACTTACATTTTGAACAGACCAAATAGCAGAAGTGAAACGAAGGTGAGAAAAGGCGTTATTAACACGTACAACAAATTTGTGGAAGTGAACTTTAGCTTCAGAGAATGAAGCTAAGAATGCGAATGTGAAGACGGCTAGCAGGCCAAGTAAGTAAGCAGAGGATTGCTTTGACGGGTTTCGGAGAAGCTCCATCGTCGCTGCTATGTCGACAGAACGGATTTTGTTTATGGTAATGGTTAATGGGTTTGGATGGTTGGATTGCTGTGGATGAAGAAGACGAGGGTGAAGTGTTTATATAGTGAAGCATGCACTTACTCAGACGGCATTTAAAATTCTTTTGTTTGGGAGCTTAGGTGGTGACTCAAGAGAGGGTTCTTCTGTTTAACAGTTGCAGAGAGGGAAAACATGAAGTTGGTCATAACTATAATCAACGATTTGGTGCACCCACTAAGTAAGCTTAGTTCGTTCAATAACTAAATCTCGTAGTTTGTTGTTCAGCTGGCGCACATGTCCGTACTGAGTTGGTCAGCATGCATACCAGTTTTTATGAATTCAAATATATGAATATTTCAGCATACAATTGACAATCAATTATATGATTGTACGTGGTAATTTAACGAGTCCAAATTTTCATGAATCTTATGATGGTATTTCAATTGTGAATGGAGTTTTTTTTTTTTTTTTTTTTGAATTTTTTTATGAGGAGGAATCCCTTTGAGGTTGTTGACCCGACACAGCTTGATCATTAAGGGATAGAAGAAAGTGATGGTCGAGAGAGAGAGTGAGAGTGATCTAGCAGGGGAAATTATTCAACAGATGAACCAGTGGTAGCTCAACCATCCATGTAACTGCAAATGCCTATTTGGAGAAATTCACGTCCAACTTCTACACAATAATGATGATGAAAAGTAGATATAGTGCCTGAAATCGTTCAAGTTCGTTGTAATGATCAACTGGCCACCTTCTTCTTCTGCAACATTTATTACTATAATTAGGTTTTGGAACGTATATTGTTGTATAATATCATGGTAGACTAGGACATGTTTGACAAATTAAAAGGTTGCATGGTAAATTGTTGGGGTAGATAGCTCAGAATAGGGGTGGTGGCGAATGATCCGATCTTATACCGAACCGATATTTGGATCAAATCGAACCAACATAGAGAGATATCATCAAAGTTATATGTTGTACATGTATCTAAATAAACCACTTGGATTTAGTTTAGACGTGTTTTAACTAGTGGGACTTGATTGAATTCATTTATGACATTGTTGGTTCAACTATATAGAATAAACTTCGAATCCGCTAACAAATCAGTTGAGTTATATAAAAAATTATCGTCGAAATCTTGAAATCACCTACTAATGTTAGTCATCCAGGTTTCAGTGACAATCTCGTTAATGATCAAATTATGTTGACCGATTCGTATGTGACCCACAAGTTCAGTGACTATTTCAGTAATTGACCCTCTAATTCTTCATTTACTCGAACTATTTAATTCTTTTCCACTATACTTCGTTAATCTGGGTCACTCTCTTCCTATTGGTTTGCATAATATTGTGAATCCGGATAGTGTTTTGGCTTACTGGTTGTACCATGACATTATTGGAGTTCAGACACCTCGTTTAGTTATTGAATAAAGGGTGGGGCGCCCTTTAAGCGCTCCGTTTCGTACCAAAAAAAAAAATACTTCGTTAACTGCCGCAGAGGAGACGGCGGAATCTAGCAAGCAAGCCGCGATCCCTTCTTCTCGCTCAGCTGGCAGATGCCGGTTGCCCTACCATGAACGGCGAATATATGAGCCAGCTCGGTATCTCAGCCAAATATCTGAGGTATCGATTCTCCATCTTTATGTTGTTCTCCTTAAGCTCGCGGTTAAGTAAATCCTAGACAGACCTGCGATGCATTGCATATCAGACTTTCTCCTGAGAAGGAGTTGCTGCTTTAGAAATAGGAAATTGGAATTATTTGATGGATCTATTCAGTTCAAGTATGGAACTTTGGAACTCATCTTGCCATACCATGAGCTGCTCATTTCTCCATGAATATTACTCAAATGGGTTGTGAATATAATAGATGGTTTCATTTGGGACAAGTACATCAAAGCATATCACCACAAAATGAAGAAACGAAAAACCAAACTTGACATGTATCTAGATTCTTACAATCCAAACCCAATAATCTAGCAGTTGCCTTTTGATGAGAAGAAAAAATTCAGATTGAATTGCCATATGATGCATAGATCCTTTGTTGTGGATTTGTGATGATCCTCTTTAGCATCGTGGCAGGTCCAGCGGTGGAGACTGAACAGACTGCAATGTCCCCACTCCATTCTCCACCAGCAAAGCCGTAGCCAAGCCCCATGTCAAATGCGAGTCGATGTGGCAATGCAGCAGCCATATTCCTGGATTGTCAGCTACAAATCTGATGGCAACCCATCCTCCAGGCGGAGTTCCAATGGTGTTCCTATGAGGTGGGTCGATGAGGTTGAAGTTAGCAGGATCCTTTGCAGGGTTGAAGTTTCCGGTACCCATCCCCACAACGTAGAAATTGTAGCCATGGATATGCATTGGGTGTTCCTCTGTCGTAACAATGCTAGTATCCTGCAACACGATCTGCACATTGGCACCATACTTGAGCTTAACTAGCTTAGTCCCATGAACAGGCTGCCAGAGCCCTCTGCTCACATTCCCCGTGTAATCAAATTTCACTAGTGGCGATGAAGGGAAATCAGTGGTGAACACGCCTTGCTGGCCCTGAAGATACGCCTGCATCAGGGAATTCCTCCTGGGGAACACGAATGAGATGTTGTTGATGCTGGCAGTGAATCTCGTCCCATTGGGACCCTGACAGCGTGGACTATTTGGATTCGTGCAGTTAATGAGGCCCAATCCCACTGTGAAGAACAAGCTCTTGTCGATCTTGGTAGGCACTTTCCCCTTGGATTTAAGGCCCTTTACCTGGGAAATGAATGCTCTTGCTGTGTTTGTGTCGTTGAAAGCCGGAAGCTGTGGGAGAACTGGAGCTGAAGGGAAGGATTTCTGCTTCCCATTCTTGTATTCAAGAATTGCAGTAGTTGTTGTGTTGTCGAAAGCAGCATTCTGGGCAGTCTGATAGGCTCGAGCCGCCATGTAGTATCTGCCGGGGGTCTGGTCGGCTGTCAGGAGGACATTGGTGGTCTGGCCTGGACCGACCATTATGACGGAAGTTGTGAAAGGTTTGGTGTAAGAAGCATCAGCTTCCACGACTGTGAGCTTGTGGTTGGCAACAGCAAAGAAGAGTTCTTGGTTCATTGCAGCATTTATTACTCTGAGCAGGATCGTTTCACCTGAATTCACTTGGAACTTCATGGTTTCTGCAGTTTGGCCCGAGAGGCAGAGGGTTTTGCCAATTCTTTAGTCAATTTAGCTGTTAGTGAACAAGGAGAGATTGGGATCAAGGGGGATAAAGTCTAACCTTTGTTGGAGCATCTGTAGAGATCACCAGGCTGGCCGTTAATGGTGTAGGCATCAGAGGAATTGGGAGCTGCTCCTGTGTAAAGTGCCAGCTTCCTTACATCCTGAGGATTCCTGTCCCACCACTCCCCTGTCATGGATTTAAGAGTTATTATTGCCTTGGACGTAAAGAAATAATTTGGAGTGAAGAAAAAGAATTGAAATGGTGAAACTCAATGTTGCCTCCTGTTACCAAGAATGATTGGGAATTCTCGCTTGGGGGTTGGGAAAGGATATGGAGAACCCATTTTGGGACGGATGATTAGGGCACCATAAACTGTTGCCCTGAGCCATCTGCTGTGTGCATGCCACCATAGAGTGCCTTCCTGGTTTTGGATTGTGTAGCGGTAAGTGTAGGTCGCCCCAGGCTGGATGGGACACTGAGTCACATACTCGGGACCATCAGCCCATGGATTCCTAAGCTGCCTAACTCCATGCCTGAACAAAGAACAACAGGATTGAAGAGTGTTTTAAGTTGTGGAGGAAAATGAGTCATCATTGAGCCGTGTTATGTTTGCTTGATGAACTTACCAATGGAGGGAGATGTTATATTGAGCTCGATTGATGGCTTTAATGACTAGTGTGTCTCCATTTCGAACCTCCAATGTTGGCCCTGGGAACTGCCCATTCACTGTGATGGTGCTATGAGTTCTGCACAGCCTCTTCACTGGTTTTGCTTCAATCTATGTTCACAACATCAAAGAAAAATTCTATAAGCTACTGACAAAGAGAAAGTAACATGTTGTAACCAACGAAGAGAAGAGACACAGATACTGGAGGCCATACCACAAATTCATGGTAGTGAACTTCCGCTGCGGAGAATGAAGCTAAGAAGCCGAAGATGAAGACAGCAAGAAGACCAAGTAACCCGAACCGGCTGCTGCTAGAGGATGGCTTGGCCCTCTGGTTTCGAAGAATCTCCATAGAATCGTTTCCTTTGGTTGGAAGGTGCTAACTCGTTGTGTAGATGGCTGTGGTGAGATGGATTGGAAGGGAGAAGGGAAGCGTTTATATAGTAACTGCATGAAATGTTGAAGGACATAATGTAGCAGCTAACTGCAGTTCAAAATTGCTTTTGGCCCTTGTGGCAGCTTAGGTAATGAGTCGAACAAAGTAGTATTGTTTATAGAACATAAATTAAGTCTTAACCATTGTCAGGATTTGGTCCAACTACTTTGTAAGCTTAGACCTTGGTCAGTCTCATAACTAAATCTGTACTTTTTTTGCAGACGCAGTTTAAATTGGCTGATACCTGTTGCTTGTAAAGCGGTAGCTCAACCATTCAGGCAACTACAACACCATTGGGGAGCAAACCCCCTACAATGATACCATCCATAGTTAGTAAATACTCCGTTTAATACACGTATATATACCCGTACGTACTTTATCCGTTTAAAACTTCCGTATCCGTATTATTGTCAAGCCGTTTCATTTTTCCCCGTTCATTGGATGACTCCCGTACTAAACACGTATAAAACCCGTATAACACGTTTAATATCCGTATTTAATAAATTAAATTGTGAACTTTACTATTATTTATATATTTATTTATTTTTAAAATAATTACTTTTTATATATTTATTGCTATTAACGTACTATTAAACGTAACTTTAGCTTAGAGACGACGTAAAATACCCGTACGTAATTTTTACGTAACTTTCCCGTACCGTATTTTACTAACTATGATACCATCTCATGCAAAACCCATCAATTAAGAAGTGTTCATGTTCGTTATCGTGATTGGTTAATTATACTTAATTAGGTACTTAATAGTCTCCACAGGAAGAAGAGATTGGTTAAGGGGTTGCCCCAGCTGCCCAATCATGAGGTTGACAAATAATTTATTGGTTTGGTAAAGATCAAGGAGAATCCGAGAGGGGATGACGTATAGTATATGCTTGCATTAGTGGATAGTAGCTTATGGTAAGTGATATTAGGTAGTTTACATGACTCATTTGCTTAAATGTAGAGATTTGAGAAATATGAATATTTGTAAATGTAGCATTAACAATTGCAATGATGGAATTATTGTCGAAGAGATGTGTCGTTGATAAAATATAATATTAAATAAAGATTATAAAAAATCTATTCATAAGGTTTACAATATTATGTTTATAACGAACCATGTCTAAAATCATATCATCGAGATTTTATTTTACTTCTACCAAATTAGCCAAATGAAACCACAATCTACCATAGAATTTATTCATTTCAATCATCAATTACAAATTGACAAGTAAATATGTGTGTGAGAGGGGGGATTGGAAGGACAAAAACATCCTAAAATTGCAAATTATGGTTCCTATTTGCACTTTGGAACTTGGTTGGAAGCTTGAAGGTAGGGATGGCAATGGGTTGGGTCGGGGGCGGATAGTGCATATCCGTTACCCTACCCAAAGTACTTCGGGTTTTACCCATACCCATACCCACATGTGAAACGGGTAGAAAATCAAAACCATGCCTATACCCATTCGGGTTTCGGGTATCCACGGTTATCCATGGATATTAATTTCTCTTCATAACTCCAACCAATATGTTAACATTCACACGTATTCTTATATTAAGTAAGAGAAAAAGTACGATAAGAATTCACTAGAATGAAGATAATTAACTAAAACAACACAATTTCATGAAAATGTTATATTTATATGCTAAATATAAAATATGCTAGAGAAAAATAATGATTATTTCTAGACAAAATACATATGCATGTGTATAATCGGGCGGGTTCGGGTCGGATAGTGAGAAATCCATGCCCACCCATTACCCGCAATATTCGGGTTCGGGTTTTACCCGTACCCACTAAATGTCCTTCGGGTTCGGGTTTTACCCTACCCGACTAGGCCGGATTCGGGCGGATATCCACGGTTACGGATATTTTTGCCATCCCTACTTGAAGGACAGAAGGAGGGGCCGCCGGCCGGCAGAAGATAGGGAATTCGCAGACAGCTGTGATGCGCAGGGTTGGAAATAGGAATTGGGAATGAAAGGGGGCTAAGGGTTTTTTTTTTTATAAAAGATATTCATATATTGATTTAAAGAATAGATAGTTACATTTTAGAATGTAGTTAGACTTGAAAATTAAATAAACGACTTATAGTAGGGTACATAGAAAGGGCTTTACGAGCAATTAAATAGACTATCCTATTGCTATGCCACCCTACAAATTATACACTAAGAGTGGGTGTGGTTTTTTTTTTTTTTTTGTGTCCAAATAAAGGGTTTAGAGCAGGAGTGGAACACAGCGTTCCAATGGTAACAGGGTATGTATTTTTGGAATATTGAATAAGTTAAATATATTTAACTTATTAATTAAAAATTAAGATGAACCACTTATGGGTGGTGGAGGTGGTAAAGGCGCACGACTTTTGTTTAGACGGTTCTAAATCTGTATCTAACTGCTCAGGGGTATTGTCAGGTTGTTACGAGGGTAAGTGCTTTCCGTCATAAGATGGATTTATCTCGTATAAAAACAAGATGACTCCTGCTGCAAGGTGGGATTTTGGTTAGTTTCAATGGGGCATGGTGTCCGAGCAACGATATTAGTGGATTTGCTGGGGGTTCTGCTAACGAGACACTATTATTTGCTTTCTACTAACATCAACAAATATATAATAGTCGAATTGGTGGTAGTTTTTAGTATTTTAAATTTTTTCTAACGGGAGTGAAAATAGAAAGGGTAGATTTGTCTTTACAATTATTTGTCTTATTCATATGAAAAATACATCAGTCTTAAGATTTTAACTATGGTCTATTTAAATAAAGACATGAATCATTACCAATTACACTAAATGAATTTGATGTATCTTTTTAAATCTAAAATCTTAAAAACATATGACTTGTCCACTACGGTTAACTAGCCCACTAACTCTTCCGTAAGTATTTCTTTGGTTTTTTATATTTCGATTTTCATATTTTCATATTTAATTTGATTTTAACAAGTAATTTAGCTATTGGGTAAAAATACACATTTCAAATATTTCGAAAATTTCAGGATGTGCATATTAAATATATCATATCAGCGGCGGATCCAGAACACAAAAGAGCACTGGGCCGCATTTTATTAGAAAATTAGAACCATAAAAAAATTAATGATTATAGTTTTTTTACAATGTAAATTGTACAGAACGGTATCTTAATTTAGAAAATGTATCAATAATGTAGTCCACATCCATACCAATAGTATACACTGTCCCAAATAAAATACTTGAGCAATTGGCAAAAAATTCATCGCTCATTTATTGTGCATATTAGTTTTTACATGTTTCTTTGTTTAAAAGGTTCTCTCAGGTTCTCTCTGTAGTTGTTGAAACGAGCAGCATCAACCCTAGACAAATCAATATCAATTTGCATTATGTGTCCATCCATATACCACCAGTTGTCTAGTAAATTTTCAAGGTAACAAACCTTATATTTCTTTTAGTCTGTTATGCTTTAGAATTTTAGGTTTCAATTTTTTTTTAGACGAAAAATCTTTGGAGCTAGAATTTCTTGGCTAAATTTAGAGTAGTGATTTGAATATGTTCATCTAAATCAATTTGCTAATTATATCCAATTTTATTATAAAAATAGCATTGGGCCGAATACCTAATATCAAAAAATTCATAAGACCTATACTAACTATTGATCCAGAGAAGGGCTGGGCCGGGACCAGGGGTGGCCACCCCCTGGATCCGCCACTGTATCATATACAAATGACATTCCGACCAACAAATCGGACACAAAACTAGTTATCCCGACATTATAAGATGCAATTTCCTGGTGTTTAACACGTGGTTATACGTTTGTAAATTTTAGTGGGGATTATCAACTTTTGGTACGACAAGTTTGGCAGAAGGAGGTAGCTCATAGCTCGGGCGGTGCTAGGCTTAGGGGTGGGCAACCGGTTCGGTAAACCCGAACCGAAACTGAATTAAACCGAACCGAAACCGAACTAATGCTATTCGGTTCGGAATTCGGAAGGGAAATATGGATATTTCGGAAATCAGGGTTCCTTCAACCGAACCGAATTTCCGACCGAAAAACCGAAATACTGTAATTTCAAGCTCAAATGGTGGATTTTTATGTTTGTATTTGTTTTTAGACATAAATATTTGAAATGTTTTATTACTTATGTGTTGAAAAGTTTGATTTTATCATTGATGATGCATATAATTACATATTTATTGTTTATATTAAGGGTGAAAAATAATTTAAAAGTGAGAAGATACAAGTAGCCTCTCAATTTCGGTTTTGTGTATAAAACCGAACCGAATTATAATTCGGTTTAAACCGACAGAACCGATTTTTAATTCGGTTCGAATTTGATTTGGGGTTTGGGAGAATTCGGGGACCCGGTATTCATAATTTCGGTTCGGTCGAAACCGAACCGACCGAATGCCCACCCCTAGCTAGGCTTGAGGAAGTTCCAAACAATCTCTCGTTTTGTATGGGTTTGGGAAGGTCTCCAAAAGTTCAGTGACTATTTTGTAATTAACCCGATAATTCTTCAATTACTCTAACCTTTTTCTTTCTTGTTCCCAATTCCCATATCGTCTTGGTTGACTGCCACAGAAGAGACAGAGGAATCTAGCAACTGAAATCTCCTTTCTTCCTCCTCTTCTTCTTCTTCTTCTTCTTCTTCTTCAGCTGGCAGGTAGCGGTTGCGGTACCATGAACGAGGACAAACACTGCCCGAAATTCCGCTGCCCAAGTTTGGAAACAGTCAGAGAGGTACTGATTCTCCATCTTAATTTGGTTCTCCTTAGCTCGTGGCTAAGTAAATCCTTTGGACAGATATGCTATGCATTGCATAGCATATTTTCTCTTGTGGGAAAAATTGCTCCTTTACAAATAAGAAGTCGGAATGATTTGCTGGATTGATTTGATGAATATTCTAGGAGCAAAGTATGGAACTTTGGAACTCACGTTTGCCCTATCACAAGTACGAGCTGATGGTTTCTCCATGGATATTTCTCAAATGGGTTGTGAATATAATAGATGGTTTCATTAGGGACAAGTACATGAAAGGATACCACCACTCAATGAAGAAACGAAAAACCAAACTGACATGTATCTAGATGCTTACAATCCAACCCCAATCACTAGTCGTGGAAGTCAAATAATCTAGCAGATGCCTTTTGATGATATAAGAAAAAAATCGGATTCAATTGACATATGATGCATCGATCCTTTGTTGTTGATTGCTGATGATCCACTTTAGCATCGTGGCAGGTCCAGTGGTGGAGATTGAACAGACTGCAATGTCCCCACTCCATTCTCCACCAGCAAAGCCGTCGCCAAGCCCCATGTCAAATGCGAGTCGATATGGCAATGCAGCAGCCATATTCCTGGATTGTCAGCTACAAATCTGACGGCAACCCATCCTCCAGGCGGAGTTCCAATGGTGTTCCTATGAGGTGGGTCGATGAGGTTGAAGTTAGCAGGATCCTTTGCAGGGTTGAAGTTTCCGGTACCCATCCCCACGACGTAGAAATTGTAGCCATGGATATGCATTGGGTGTTCCTCTGTCGTAACAATGCTAGTATCCTGCAACACGATCTGCACATTGGCACCATACTTGAGCTTAACTAGCTTAGTCCCATGAACAGGCTGCCAGAGCCCTCTGCTCACATTCCCCGTGTAATCAAATTTCACTAGTGGCGATGAAGGGAAATCAGTGGTGAACACGCCTTGCTGGCCCTGAAGATACGCCTGCATCAGGGAATTCCTCCTGGGGAACACGAATGAGATGTTGATGCTGGCAGTAAATCTCGTCCCATTGGGACCCTGACAGCGTGGACTATTTGGATTCGTGCAGTTAATGAGGCCCAATCCCACTGTGAAGAACAAGCTCTTGTCGATCTTGGTAGGCACTTTCCCCTTGGATTTAAGGCCCTTTACCTGGGAAATGAATGCTCTTGCTGTGTTTGTGTCGTTGAAAGCCGGAAGCTGTGGGAGAACTGGAGCTGAAGGGAAGGATTTCTGCTTCCCATTCTTGTATTCAAGAATTGCAGTAGTTGTTGTGTTGTCGAAAGCAGCATTCTGGGCAGTCTGATAGGCTCGAGCTGCCATGTAGTATCTGCCGGGGGTCTGGTCGGCTGTCAGGAGGACATTGGTGGTCTGGCCTGGACCGACCATTATGACAGAAGTTGTGAAAGGTTTGGTGTAAGAAGCATCAGCTTCCACGACTGTGAGCTTGTGGTTGGCAACAGCAAAGAAGAGTTCTTGGTTCATTGCAGCATTTATTACTCTGAGCAGGATCGTTTCACCTGAATTCACTTGGAACTTCATGGTTTCTGCAGTTTGGCCCGAGAGGCAGAGGGTTTTGCCAATTCTTTAGTCAATTTAGCTGTTAGTTAACAAGGAGAGAGTGGGATCAAGGGGGATAGAGTCTAACCTTTGTTTGAGCATCTGTAGAGATCACCAGGCTGGCCGTTAATGGTGTAGGCATCAGAGGAATTGGGAGCTGCTCCTGTGTAAAGTGCCAGCTTCCTTACATCCTGAGGATTCCTGTCATGGATTTAAGAGTTATTATTGCCTTGGACGTGAAGAAATAATTTGGAGTGAAGAAAAAGAATTGAAATGGTGGAACTCAATGTTGCGTCCTGTTACCAAGAATGATTGGGAATTCTCGCTTGGGGGTTGGGAATGGATACGGAGAACCCATTTTGGGACGGATGATTAGGGCACCATAGACTGTTGCCCTGAGCCATCTGCTGTGTGCATGCCACCATAGAGTGCCTTCCTGGTTTTGGATTGTGTAACGGTAAGTGTAGGTCGCCCCTGGCTGAATTGGACACTGGGTCACAAACTCGGGACCATCAGCCCATGGATTCCTGAGCTGCCTAACTCCGTGCCTGAACAAAGAACAACAGGATTAAAGAGTGTTTTAAGTTATAGCGGGAAAACGAGTCATCATTGAACCTTGTTATGTTTGCTTGATGAACTTACCAATGGAGGGAGATGTTATATTGAGCTCGGTTGATGGCTTTAATGACTAGGGTGTCACCATTTCGAACCTCCAATGTTGGCCCTGGGAACAGCCCATTCACTGTGATGGTGCTATGAGTTCTGCACAGCCTCTTCACTGGTTTTGCTTCAATCTATGTTCATAACATCAAAGAACATTCGATAAGCTACAGCTAAAGAGCAAGTAACATGTGTAACCAATGAAGAGAAGAGACACAGATACTCGAGGCCATACAACAAATTCATGGTAGTGAACTTCCGCTGCGGAGAATGAAGCTAAGAAGCCAAAGATGAAGACAGCAAGAAGACCAAGTAACCCGAACCGGTTGCTGCTAGAGAATGGCTTGGCCCTCTGGTATCGAAGAAGCTCCATTGGAATTGTGTCTTTTTGTTGGGAGGTGCTAACTCGTTGTGTAGATGGCTGTGGTGAGATGGAGGGGAATGAAGAAGGGAAGAGTTTATATAGTAACTGCATGAAGTGGTGAAGGACATCATGTAGCAGCTAATTGTTGTTGGCCCTTGTGGCAGCTTAGGTAGTGAGTCAAACAATGTAATGTTTATAGAACATGAACTAAGTCACAACCATAATGAGGATTTGGTCCAACCACTTGGTAAGCTTAGACCTTGGTCAGTCTCATAACTAACTTTGTACTTTTTTCTGCAGAAGCAGTTTAAATGGCTGATGCCTATTGCTGGTTTTCCTGCGTATTGTATCATTTTGTTTGATTATAGTATCAGTTCAGCTGAATTAAACACTAAGTCCTAAACTATGCTTTCCTTTATTTTTGCTTATAAACCGGTAGCTCAACCATTCAGACAACTGCAACACCACTGGGAGCAAACCTGCAGGTCTAACTTCTCCACCACAATGATACCATACCATGCAAAACCCGTCAATTAAGAAGTGTCCATGTTCGTTATCGTGATTTGGGTTAACTCTGAGCAGCATTATTTATACTTAATTAGGTACTTAATAGTCTCCGTAGGAAGACGAGATTAGTTAAGGGGCTGCCCAATCATGAGGTTGACAAATAATTAGTAGGGTTGGTAGAGATTAAGGAGAAACAGAGAGGGGATGACGTATAGTATTTGCTTGCATTAGCTGGCCACCTCCTCAACTCCTCGGACCATTCATTACCAATTGTCTTTTAGAAAGAAAGCATGCAGTCGTCTTGTTCAAGTACTCCAGAAATAGAGAGCAGGACAAAACATATTAGACCAGTTAATGGAATAGATTATTATTGTATAATAAAATATTAACCGATAGTGTATATAGATGATATTATAATGGGTTAATATTTTCATATGCCCTGAACTTTGACCAAAATAAACATTTTGGCCATTTTTTTCGATCTATAACATGCTGGCCCGAACTATACACCAAAATAAACAATTTGGCCAAACCCGATGTTTGACCGTTAACTTGGACGGTCAAATGCGTTGATTAACAGTCAACGCGCCACGTCACTGCCACATTACTGCCAAGTCAGAAGATCTGATAAATATTTAATTTTTTACGTTTTTTTATTTTTGGTTTAACTAAGGTATTAGATGATTTTTTTAATTTATAATAATTTAAAATTAGGTAATGTGTGGAAATTGTGAATTATTTTAAATATTTTATGCTGATTTGGCAGTGACATGACGCGTTGACTAACGGTCAACGCGTTTGACCGTCCAAGTTAACGGTCAAAAGTCGGATATGGTCAAATTGTTTATTTTGGTGTATAGTTCGGGCCAGGATGTTATAGATCGAAAAGATTGGCCAGGATGTTTATTTTGGTCAAAGTTTAGGTCATACGAAAATATTAACCTATTATAATTCTATAATAATATCAGTTAAAACCAATTGGCATATATCCGCAAGCTATCAAGTGGGAAAAAATTTAAGTAATGTTTTATGTGTCTGTATCATATGGTATTTGATTGATATCGAATGAAAGTATATCATATAGTATGAAAGCGTAACATGGTGGTATGTACATATAAAGACGGTAGGATGATTGAATACATGATAGTAGGAGTATACTAACTGTCATTTACGACTTTTAACATTGTGTAACACAAAGTACCACCCCCATACCATGGTGGTAAAGTATGGTATTTTTTTCACCCGAAAATTTGTAAATCCATTAGATCATGATAAACTCGTTCCTTCTGTACAAATATTTTCAAAAAAACGAAGGAGAGATCATATGGTATGGAGTTGGTAATAGGGATGGCAACAAAACCCGAACCCACGGGTACCCTATTTGATCCAACTCAGTCAAGGCGAGTAAAACCCGTATTGACGGGTTTCGGGCAGAGTTCGGGTTTAAACCCGATACACTGTTTACAAGTTGGGTTGGGTTTGGGTTTATGGATACCCGCTCAAACTTATTATGTGGCCCTACTTTCCCCAAACACTACCCTGATTATGATTTTCCCCAATCTAACTCTCCTCAAACCCTACCCTAATTTTTTTTATTACCAAGGTAATGTTTCTTTTTTCCCCAAAAGAAGTGGGATGGATAAATTAATAATTGATGTTGAACACACCATGTTTGTTGGTTTGTTGTTCTCTCGCAAACAAAAAAGGAATGAACGAAAAATAAAGAATTGTGTGCATTTATTTAGTGTAATTGTGATTTGTATGAATTTTCTATACTAGTGTTTTATGTATGGATAATTTGAATGGAGAAATTAATGTTTGACTTTCATTTTGATAGTAACTTGTTATTGTAAATTTTTTACCACAAAAACCCATAGGTACCCATCAACCCGCGGATACCCATCGGATTGGGTTGCGTTTGAGTTTTCCAAACCTAAAGAATTTTGCCCCGGGTTTTTTTTATGGATAAACCCATGGGTTTGGGTATGATTTTGACAAAATCTGACCCAACCCGCCTCATTGTCATCCCTAGTTGGTAACGAGAGGTATGAAAAAAATTCTACAAAAATATTGAAATTTGATCTCATTTTGTAGAGCACAACGAACTCATTCAATCTGTGCAAAAAAAATTGAAATCCGAGTTAGAACGAGAAAGATAAGAGTGGATTTAAAAAATTATGGAAAATAAAATTTATTTAATTCCCAACCCTTATATCTAGATTTTTTGAACCCAACTTAAAAAGAAAGGTTATTAAATACATTTTAAGTTGGGCTTCTCTACCGGGGGATCGTGCCCCCAAACCTCCAGTTCCTCAACCCCTTCTCTAAACGAAGTTGAGTCGGCAGCTGCTATATGTATATGGAATGGAGCTACTAGAAGAGGCTCTCATTCTGCTGGTGGGATGGTTATCCAGACCCCGCTAGAGAAATCCTTTTTGTTCGGGGTTCAGTTCATAGGCATTGACGACCTGATGGTGGTGGAATTACTTACCCTTCGTGAGGCTATTTCCTGGTCCGTAGGTCTTGGTTTTACGGATATGCGATTTGAGGGCGATGCCAAAGTGGTGATTGAAAAAATCTTGCGTGGCGATACTAGAGACAACCAAGTAGGGACTATTCTAGAAGAAGTTATTCAAATGCTTGGTTTGAGTATGGGTTTTAGTTTACGATTTGTAGGTCGGAGTTAGGAATGGCAACAAAACCCGAACCCACGGGTACCCACCCGACCCAACCCGGGTAAAATCTGTGTTGACTGGTTTTGGGTCGGGTTCGGGTTTAAACTCGTTCACTATTTATCGGGTTGGGTTGGGTTGGGTTTGGGCTTAGGTAAACCCGCCCCATGGGTACCTGCCCACATCTATATAATTAATTTTACCGGTATATTTAATATTCTAAACAACTAATCTTCTTTATTTCTGTGGAGACATGTCCAATTTTTTATTTCTAATTGTGTAGAATGAAGTTGATATTATCGAGTGGAGAGTGACGAAACTTAATTGACAAGGAGGAAGAAGTTTTCAATTAATCATGTTGTTTGTAGATAATTTGTGATTTGCTTCAATTTTCTTGAGTTTTCTATATTGGTGTTGAACTGTTTGTATGGTTAATTTGTGATTTGCTTGAATTTTCTAGAATGGTATTTTATATATGGATAATTTGTATTGAGAGATTGATATTTGACTTTTGTTTTGATAAGAACTTGTTATTGTAAATTTTTTACGACAAAAACCCATGGGTACCCATCAACCCGCGAATACCCAGCGGGTTGGGTTGGGTTTGAGTTTTTCAATCCCAATGGGTTTTACCCGGATTTTTTTCACGAATAAACCCACGGGTTTGTGTTTGGCAAAACCCGACCCAACCCAACCCATTGTCATCTCTAGTCGGAGTAGCAATAGGGTAGCTCATGTGGTGACTAGAAAGGCTCTGTCATTGTATTCGACTGCAAGTCGTTCCTTTAATTTTCAGATCTAGCTGAACTCCAGGATATAATTATTTCTGTTTCAATATATATGATTATGTTTTGTAAAAATGACTCACCCTATCCGATGCACTCCAAACAATCAAGCAGGAAATGTTTAATTTTACTTACACAATGGATGAGTAAACATCCGATGCACTCCAGACAATCAAGCACGTGATTGAGGTCGAAAACAGCAAGAAGTCTCTGCGGAGAAGTTAACTGGGTATTGTAAGAAGCATCACGAGTAAAAAAAAGCAAGGCACCTCATTATGTTTTTATTTGTGTTCCACCATACTATTGGCCGAGTTGGCAATTGGTCACTTTTGTGGTCCAACCGGCCAATACGATACTGTAAAAAACTGTCTTCATTGTCTGACTGGCCAATATGAACAGTAAAGATCGTCAATGAAAAGTTCACCATGGATGCTCTGGTGATTCACATGATATGATCATTTAACTAATACACTATCAATCTTCATATTTGGATCAACCTGTTCATAAACTTTGGCACCCAACCATAAAAAGAACCCAAATTTGCAACATATGACGGGTAGAATTTAGTCCTGAAAAAAAATGTCGGAAACTCACCGGAACGAACTACAGTAAGGCTACCATGAACTGCTGTGCGCTACCAAAATCTGTGTAATTCTCACGATAGGACTAAACAGTGATAAACAGTAAAACCGCCAGAGGAACAAATGTAAAAACAGCTCAAAGTAACAAGAGTGTTTCGTCCACATGAAACGCCCAAATCAACCGACGGAATTTTCGACATGCAACCCTGCGTCAGCCCCTTCAGAATTGAGCAATCTGCTGTTTCAGTGCTTGCAACGACTTGACCTTCGACATGCAAATTTGAAGGAACTGGGATAGCACATCAGAATTTCCTTTTGCTACCTTCCTGGCAACATCAACAGCACTCCACGACTTCAATGCACGGAAGATCCTTCCGCCTACTTCACTCGCGTCAAGAGAAGGTACCACATTTTCCAGAACCTGGAAAACAGCTCCAGGCCCGCCAGCATGTTCTCCGTTTCTC